TTATAAGGATGACGACAAGTATCAGACCTATTGAGTTCCTTTTCTAACCCCAAAGGCAAACAGTACTTTTGGATGCTTCTTTCCACAGAAAGAAAATTATTGCTCTACAAGATTTTCCTGTATCTCCCATGGTTACAAAACCTGCTATGAAAACGCGTCTACATCGGTCGAACACCCAAACGAGACTAACAATATTGTTCTAGTTGCATAAACAAGCCAAAACTTGTCTCTGTAAGTTTTGCTAAGGGGACCAACTATTGTTTGTCCAGAAAGAGTACACTTTGCAAATATTTCATAGGTGAAAGAAAAGACCAAAAAACAATAAAAACTTTATTTTCTTTTGAAAACATATTTTTCTTTGGAGTGGATTTTTTTTTGCTTATTTTGCATATTAAATTTGACTGTAAAGACAGCAGATAATGTTTTTACAGAATGTTGCGACTTCTCACTGCTCCAATCATCATACCATGAAAATACCCTTTCAACAGCAGTATTAGTGCCTGGACAACATAAGGAAATTGTTATTAGAACTTTTAAATTTTCATGTTTGATATGTTCTACCCTAAAATGCCGAAAGATTTCTATCCATCTTTTGTCAAGTTCTATTTTCTCATCGTTCCATTTCTTCAGTTTTCCTTCATTTAAATATAAATTTATTTTTCGAATTTCTTCGAAGAAAAAATTATCATTAATAGCAATATATTTTACTTCCTTCATTACAAATTGGACTGCTGAAGAAACTTCCATTTAATTTTACTATTTAGAAAGGAGAACGCGAAAACTTTCTTCTTCAAATTGTCTTTATAACTCGAAATAAGTGATTCGGCAAAATTCGAAATTTAAAATCTTAATATCGAAATACGTTTCTAAAATTGGACAGTTTTATTTTTATTGTGATTCGATGCGTCTGATATATATAGATAATGGGTGTTTTTTTTTCGATGTATAGAACTTTAAGTTGGCATTAATGTTCAAGCCGTCAAATGATTTATTCTCAGTTTGGTTTGGCAATTCATCATGAATAGACTCACGCCTGAACAACGCTTGCAAATAGTGCAATTTTATTTCGAAAATAATGGTTCTGTGCGGAATACGTAACGCGCACTACGTTCATTTTTTCGTCGATAAAATCGTCCATCAGAGCAGTCGATTAACCATGGGACGTTTTCGCACCACGTTTACTCTTATTGATAACTCGCATCCCCAGAGACGCCGTACGGTGCGTACAGAAGAAGCTGTTGCTGCTGTAGAGCGTAGCATCGAGGAAGACCCGAATGAGTCCATCCGCCATCGACTACAGGAATTGGATCTGTGTCCATCCACTTTATGGAAGATTTTGCGGAAGGATCTTGGTTCACGTGCTTACAAAATCCAATTCGTGCAAGAATCGAAGCCAAACGATCATCAAGGCGTAGATTCGCCGAATATTCCCAAAACGAGATTGCCGTTGTTCCCGATTTTCATAAGCGAATTTTGTTTAGCGATGAAGCGCACTTCTGGTTGAATGGCTACGTCAACAAACAACACTGCCGCATGTGGAGCGAAGCTAATCCACAAGTGTATGTCGAAACACCGTTACATCCACAAAAACTGACTGTTTGGTGCGCTTTATGGGCTGGTGGAATCATTGGTCCCTACTTCTTTAAAAACGGTGATGGCCAGAACGTTACAGTCAATGGTAATCGGTATGGAGCTATGATTACTAACTCTCTCGGCGCAACATGTCACACAGCCCGTGCCACAATCGATTTATTCTAAGATAGGTTTGGTGACCGCCTAATTTCACGTTTCAGACTACTTTCTGCGGGGCTATGTCAAGTCATTGGTCTATGCGGATAAGCCACAAACGCTTGACCATTTGGAAGACAACATTCGCCGTGTTATTGCCGAAATGTTGGAAAAAGTTATCGAAAATTGGACGTCCAGATTGGACTACATCCGCGCCAGCCGTGGTTGTCATATGCCAGAAATCATATTTAAAATGTAATGCCACAAGATTTTCTTTCGGATAAATAAAATCGAATAATCCATCGTTGTTTTATTGCAACTTATACATCGAAAAAAAACACCCCTTATATATGATACAGAATCTAGATGTGAAAAGCGAAAGTACCCTATATAACTGCCAATTTTTTTTCATTAGTTCCAAAAGAATTCTCTTTAAAAAATGTTGTCAGTTTGGATGTTGGCGCTGCTGTTTTTCATGTACTTCAGTTTCAATGTGTGCGGTTATTGCACTACGTCCATGAATTGCAATTGAAAATTCCCAATTGCAGATTGTGCATTCAACAAAGGAGTCATCATTTTGTTTTTTGACTACAATGAACGGAAACTCTTTTTTTCAAGTTTCGTTGAAACCATTTTCCTTTCATATTTGAATTAATAATCTAAAAATTGTATTACTAATATATTTTTCATTTTATTAAATTTATTATAATCTGATATTATTTAAGTATATTAATACTTACATGCAACTTCACCTTGACTGAATAAATATTTGAATTAATAATCTAAAAATATTGGAAAGATAGATATATCCATCTCACATACGGCCTCTCAATTGTGCCGGCAAAGGCAGCCATATGTTCGCGCAAAATTCAAATCACTCTCAAAATAATTTTAATGTTTAATTAATAAAATTGAAAGAAAATAATCTACGAAAATATTTTAGAAATACAAATGAGTGTAAAATAATACAAATGAGTACTTTTAAAGTACAGGATTTCAAAATAGTACGGTATATGAAAAAATAAAAAATAGTACAAAACTCAGTAAATAGTATAAGTCACTTTAGTTCAACGTAATTTTATTATAGCACAATCCGAACTTTGGAATAACTATGTTAAACTCCGATATGTATACGCGACCATGTAGCTAAATATCGACCTAAATCACTCGGATGGAAAATATTACTTTAGACGTCAAAACGTAGTCACCATCATCACTCTTATACGACGCAAATTACGAACTACACGCAATGCGGCCATTTTAAATTAATTTTTAAGGGTTGTTGTTCATAATATTTACGCCTCCGCAATTGGTACTTAGTGACGTCAAAAATCTACTTCGGCATAATCGATTTGATGGGGGCGCTATGTGGAATAATAGGAAGCCTCCGCAAAAGAACCCCCGCAAACCTGAGCGCAGTCTTTATTAAACAGCAATTTCGCGCCATTTTATTTGTGGCAACACACCTACACGCACAAACACAGTATTTACTTAACAGAATTACAATTTAATTATACACGAAGCGAATATATTCAAGTTAAGTCCCACTCCAATCAGAACTAAAGTTTTGTTTCGCCTGGTTGCGTATATTACTAACAAAACAGCTTTGCGAAGTATTGTTTGCGATTCATTTCGGACTGACGTCCTTTTGAACAGGAAAAATTGTTCCCAATCTGACCGACCCACATCGCAACTTCCGTTTGTATACAACGTTACTGCATAAACTAAATTAAATCCCCTTCCATAACACAAGAAGTATGGATTCATACGTCTTAATAAAACCTAACCGCACAACGTCATTGTGAAGTCAAGCAACGCGGAAAAAGAACGAGGTAATTTATTCTCGTCTTTCGTGGAGATGCAGTATCTATTTTTTTTTAAAGAAATTCATCTGATTTCTGACTTTAAATTAATTTGAGAGATTATTTAAAACAGCACAATAATCTATCCAGCATCTCAGCATCTTCCCCTTCATTCAATACTTACACAACTTAAGGTCCTGAGAAAATGTATTCGACATTGATGGTTTTTTCCTTTTGTTTACATAATCTAGACCTTCTCTTCCCTTATTCTAATTAATACTTATACCTTCTACACTACACTTCTAACCTGAAGAGTCATTGTAAAGTCAAGAAAAACCGAACAGGAAGAGGATAATTTATTCTCCTCTTCATCTCAAGGCCTTCATCTGGTTTGTGACTTTTTCTGAGATACATGGTTTTGCTTAGTTGTTAAAATAGGCTTATTTTCCTTTAATATCTCAAAAGATTCTTTTTCCCGGCTTTCTTTCTCTTTCCTTTCATTCAAACTATATTTCTCGTCTCTTCCGCACTTATTTACTCTTTGTAAACTTTGTAAACAACCTTATTTCCTCCATATAGTTTCCCTACTCAAGCACTTTTAACTCGTACCTTTTGAAAGTTGCACTTTAAACTCCTTAGTATGCGAAACAGCCATTGTATTGGTTGAATAAAATATTCTTTGTTCGATGTTTTTTTCCTTTGTCTTCACAACCTTCACTTTCAATTTTGAGATCTAAATATGGGCATTACCTTTCAACAGCATAAAATCGATCTTGTAAATAATATCGAATGTCCAACCTGTTTAACTCCGTACCGGCGATATCGGGTCAAACTTCAGGTAGAAATCGGGTCCATAGTCGATTGATTAATTAATTTGGATATGAAGTGTCCGTGAATGATCCTGCAGTTTCTGAAAGCGCCTGCAGCTAACCTTATTAACTCGATGGCTTCCTGAGGGTTTATTAACCAATGTTGTTTTAACAGCGCAGTATTTGGTTTGAATACGGCGGAGAAAATTAATTTTTGTTCCGCTCACCAAGAAAATTAAAGCGAGAATCTTGGCACGAGAAATTTCGCGGTAGATATTATGTTTCGGTTAATGAGTGAAATATGTTGGAGTTATAATTGCGTTTGTTTTCTTTCCTTAAATATAACGCTGTTTGCGAAAAAAGATAATTTCAGTTCGCCTCTCTTGTTTTTTTACTCCAATCCGAAAGCAATCAACACTCATAATGGAAAAAAAACAAACAAAATGGTTTTGGTTTGCCTGGAAATTAAACTTGTATTTGAGGGTTCAGTGTTGAATACTTAACAACATTTAAATGGTTTGAGAGAAACTGAGTAGTTTAGTTTCAACTACAAAATGCTATTCCAAAGTTATACGTTTCAATTTCTAATGAAACTATCCAACCCATACGATTGCGTATTTCTTAGACTTTCCGTGGTTTAACATGGATGTTTCTTTTTCAGGCAACTTAAAGCATGCGTTTGAAATCGCTGGATGGACCCTTGGCGGTTCACAACGGCAATAACGAGGCTTTGAATTCTCCAAAGCGGATAAACACTCTGCAGAATAGTAATATAATCTCAAACTACGTGAATTACGATAACAATATCACAACACACTTGACCACAAACAATTCCAGTGATGTTGGTACTATTACCAGCGCTCATGATCAACTTAGCAATGATAACGTGGATGCCCTACATAGGATAAGCAACACCGAGAGCCAGAAGGTGAGTTACTTTCATTGGTTTTATTATACTTTAATTCCATTGTTGTATGTTTATTGGGTTTAAACTTCATTATTGAATATTATATGCGTATAATAATAAAACGTATATTATATTACATATTATTAGATTTTTTAAATCAAATATTTTGCAGATTGGCAATAACAAAGAAAAAAGTTTGAAATCAGTTTTATTTTTTATTTGAATACTTCATAAAAATCATATGGCATCATTTTTCGAAATAAAACACATAGAAAGTGCCTAATTTTGTGTAACCAGCTTTTGGAACATTGGGATTTTCGAAGCTTTCACCAAACTGATCAGTGCGACCTACACGGCCTTGACCCGAGCTTTTGTTGGAGTTTAATATAAATCGCTTTCGTCGGATCCATTCGAAACCATAATTATAACAAAGGGTGAACTTTTTTTAGTATCTATATTTTAACGAGTTAATCCAACAAACAATTTTTTGCACCAACGGAGCAGAACTCTGTTTTGTTTCTATGCCGAACTTTCAGACCTTTATCGGGCCATCCCCAGTATGTTATTATAAGAACATTAATGTTTTAAAAATAGGAGAAATATAACCGAACCGAACTCATTGTGCTATTATGTACTATTATATGTAATAACACAGCATATAGTAACAAGTATAAACAATTAAATTAGAAAAAAGTTGTGTTTTTTGAGAGTTATTACATGCCATTTAGAAACTTCGAAAAGATTCAAGGCCTGCTGAGATATTTCGGAAAAACGGGAATTTTTGAAGAGATATCAAAAAAACTATAACATTTTCTCATTCGTACGTTAAAGGTACTACATGGCTGTATTTTTAGATTTTATTTTATATTTTTATTTATCCTACGTTTCGTTTTCAAACAAACTTAATTTTTTCATATGGCAAGAAAAAAAAAAGTATGCTCTGCATCTGATTCCATTTCATTCTACGAATTCATGCCATTTTTTTTTAGTTCAAGGGAAAATTGCATTTTTACCTATTTTTTAAAGGTGTTTTTAAGTTTGTTTGTTTTTCGAGATGTTGTTTTTAAAGTAATTGTCTATATTATTACTGTTGTCATTATTATTGTTCATTTTTGAATAGTTAATATTGCGTAATTATCGTGAAATATGCCGGATGATCATTATCGCCACGAAGAAAAGTTTGACATGCTAACGAGCTACATTTTGAGCCCCTAAAATATTGTAAATACAGCAGCAATGAATATTAATACATATCCAGAAAGAATGCAGCCATGTTTTATCTGGAAAAAAAGGAAACTTTAGAAGAAACCCAAATTAATGTTTTACAAGCAGTTCTGGAGAACCATGAGATGCCAACCAGGCAAATCGAGGAGAATGTAGCCATTTCCACGGCCGTGGTCACTAATATTGGTATCTTTAACTGCCGCAATACCCATTACTGGACAGAACAAAATCCTATTGTGGAAATTTAAGGAATTTTTTACCATAATTCTTTAACCGCAAAACGATACGTTCACTTTTTAGATAATTTGGACTTCATAGGGGGTTTTGTTAAAAACCGAGATTACCAATATTCTTTTGAATATGAAAAGATATTACAAGATTGCGTAACGACTGCATCTAAGATAGAAAAAAATAACGAAAATCTGTTTGAACAGCTGTTTTGAATCAAAGAAAATTTTTTGTTGATAATGCAACTTTGTTGAATTTGTAATAAAAAAATTGAACAGGATTCAGCGTGTACTTTTTTTTTCGGACAATATAAAAAAATAAAGTTGGTAATGATTTCTTGTTTGTTTTTTTTTTTAATTTTCTAAACGGTATGTAAATAAGATTCAAAGGACCACAACACAACACAACAAAGGGTCATTAGGGTCATTATCATGAACACACTGTATAATATTCATCTTCCAATGAAGGTCTTAAAGTGCATCGAGATAAAAAAATATTTGATTCAACACAGCTTCCAACAATCGAAAAGATTTTCGCTGTCATTCTCGATTTGGAAAATTACATGGTATTTGAATATTTTCCACGGTCCAAATCGTAAGTTCCGATAACATTTTGCACTAAAAAATATATAAAATTTGAAACTTACACTCAAGATTAACAATTTTCAAAGAATTTTTTTAAAATTATTCTTTGATTTCCATGATACTTTTAGGTTTTGAAGTTTCGTACCGAAGCTGTGCCTGACTTTTTGTTTATAATGTCTCCGTTCATGGTTGCTCGTTTGCTAAATCAAATAAATTAAAGCCGTTTTCAACTGCTTGGAGATTTTTTATCAGACTCTGTATGGAGTAATCGAAATCATTCAGAATTAAACAAAACCACTTAAAAAACTATGACGTACAGATGGAAATCCAAATTTGGGCTAGTTTAAAATGATTTTATTGGAATGGGCCGGTATTATTTACAGTTGCGATGGTGCAACTTCACTGTGAACACCGGCCAGCAAAATCAGCAGCATCAAAGACAGCTGGCCCTAAACAATCTCGCCAACAACAGGTACAGTCAAATACGAAACATAAACAACACGCTGGCCACCCAAATGAGGATCAGGGAGTCTTCCGCCCGATGTCAAGAACTCGCGTCACCAGATGATGCCCGGCTCGATGATTACGGTGAGAGATTGATAGAAAGCTATTGGATCCGATGATATGAAGAAATACGCTAAACAGTATGAATATGAATTCAACACTTCCTACAGTTGCCATTTCTTGGATCTTTTCTGGATTCAAAATATATATCATTTTGTAATAAATATTCTTGAATTCTTGAATGTTTTATGCTTCGTGAATTCAGTGCTTTTTGTAGCAGGCGACTTGCGTCCTCAATCTCAATTCAATTCAAAAAATCTCTATTCTGATCTAGCTTGAATTGTGGTGCGTTTCATTCATTTGAAGGTGCTTTGGTCTGAAAGTTTTTGTATTGTGTGTATTCATCCAGTTTAAGTATACATCTGTCTTCAGATCTATTAATTGTCTGAAGGTAATTAAATCTCCAATTGCACAATATGTGGGATTTCATCGCCACTTTCTTTGTCTATTGTGCGGTATTTAAATCCCACTCACAAATAACTCTATGGAGAGTGGCACAGCTAATAATTACATTGGTTTCATCTTGTTCTAGCTTCTTTTTCGTTTTATCCAAAGTAGGGACTCGTTTTGATAAAGGGTATACTTCACTTCCACACTCCACTACGTTCTTTCCTTTCTACTGAACCTAGGAATAAATTACATATGAAACTGGTACTTTCATATGAGATATATGTTCTAATAATTAAGACTTTATCATATTCGTTAAAAACGATCTCATTTGAATTTATCTCTATTCAAAACTGTTAACTACTCTAAGCCTTATTCTCGATAAAAATCAAGTTAAACAGTATTTGTCAAAAATTATATATTTAATATATAAATATAAAAAATGAAGTAAAAAATGATAAGTATTGATAAAAAATAATATTTATAACATTAAATATGGTGTAACTATATGTAACAAGTTATGGTTTAAATTATTACAAATGCGCACACTTACCCGCAGTGCTGCGCACGTTTACCCCAATATTGGGGTAAGTGTGCGCATTCTGACTAACATTTATTTTATTTTATTTCTTCAATTACAATTAAGTAAATTGAATTTCATGTTATGTAATTGTTAAATCAATAAATCCTTTAAATAAATACTTTTATTTCAATTTATTTTGTACAATTATTACAATTTTATGACCATAGAAAAAAAAATGCGCACTCTTGCACCACATGACTCTAACTGTTTCTTCAAAGCGAATGTTCCAAAATATAGTATTATGGTATAGTAAATAGTTTCTTTCTCATATTTTCTTAGAATGGACTTAATCAAAAATAAGGTAGATTTGAAAAAAATTATCTAAGATAATACAGACCATTAGATAAGCCCTGCATTTCCGTTTTTTATTTTCGAACATTTTCTCGCGGCATTCGAGGAAGCATTGCATAAATTTTGTTATTGTAATCAATTTATTGAGTGTTTCTTGGCGTTATCTTATATTCCAATGAGTATCCCACACAGGACAGCTTCAAAGCTGTAGTTCGTCAACGGCGGCGTCTCCACAAGATGAAGATCGGTCTTTTGATCTGTCAGAAAGTGGAGACTCCTCCGATGAAGGTATCGACGATACGTTGGCGGTCGATGACCATACTCCAAGCCTCAGATGCATCGTCAACCCCAACTATCCAGGCTTCCAACATTTGGCGCATACGCTGGTTGACGGATACGACGAAGAAGCTCTGACAAATAAATTGGAAGCGGACGCTAATCACGCAAACAATAATGACCCGGATTCCGAATTTAAGGTTAGGATGTTCCGTACATTTAAGGACTAAATTTAACCACAATAAAGCTATGCTCAAGTAACTCCAAGCAATATTGGTTCAAATCCATTTTCATTAAATATAACTACTACAAACTAAACGACGTAGGGAAAATGCGTAAAAAGAAAAAAATATTTTTGTTTGTCATAAAGCGACAAATAAAAAAGAGTTATTTTTTAAAAAGCACATTGAAACAAAAAATATGAGACAAGAAAGAAAAAAGAAGAAAAACAAATACAAGACATGGCAATCTCTTCTTGCATGCAAGCAAGTCTACAGATCTCTAAAAAACTAAAGATAATATAATTAACAAACAATATAAAAGTATAAACAAAATTATGAATTATACATATATAGCTAGTTAGTGACATAAAGATAAAAGTGGGTTTCCTTCCTTATAAACAAAACTGAGATTTGAAATCTACCAATAAATACTTTATTCTGGACAGATCTACTGCCAAATACAAAAAATGTGTAATATTTAGCATATGTCTCGTTTCGCTTTGACGTTTCATCAAAAAAACGACACATATAAAAATAAATAAAAAAATTGTGATAGCAAATATTTTCATTATTTTAAATACGATGTCAGTTATTTTTTGCTTTGTATTGTGAGTAAATTTTTCAATATGCCTGAACTTTCATCCAACCATTTTTTTCTTTTCTTTATTGTTAGGGGGGTAAAATTTACAGTTAATTTTTCCTAATTTTTTTATAGTTTCCTGGTCTGTTGGAAAAAATTACTATTTATTTATTCATTTATTTTCCACGGAAAATAATTATTCTTGTTTCCATTGTATTAGGAACTAAACTGGTTAAATGGCTTTTACTTAAAATTACTTCCAAAGAAATAACACGGAATGTATTTTTTTAATTAATTGTTTGTATTCTTTTTTTCTTTTTTCATTTTCTTTTATTAAAAATTTTATTACTTTCTTATTTCGAGATTAAAAAAAAATATATTACGTGTTCTTTAAGAACAAACGTAGCTTACGTGAATAACAATTCTCCATCTTATATACTTAACATTTCATCTTTGTTAACAATTTTGTTATTCCAGATTGACAAGTTTGACAGCGTTAACCGCCTGGACAGTGTAGAAAACATTCAGAAGGTGTTCCACGACAAATCATTGTCTGATATCAAAGTGAATAGTGAATCTGTAGAAAACATAACTTGCAATTCAGTGAGTGACAGTGGCGCCACCCCAAGCGAGGAACACTGTGAGGTAGTGAACTTTAATATTAAGTTAGAGGAGAAAGTGCTCGGAATAGTAGTCGGTGATTTTCGGAAGGAAGTAGAAGAGGAGTTGGAAAAGATCGGTTTAAATAATGAGGTAACCAAGAAATCCACTTTTTCATGAAATAAAAAATCGTCGCGTTCAAATCAAAATGGGGTATTGTTTTCCACTTATTAGGAAAAGAAAAAAGCTTATATCTGAAATCCTTTATTTGTTTAAATAAGTATTTTATATTTTCTGCAAAAAATAATCTTTACAGACTGAAGAATATCTGCAAATTTTTCCTGTATCGAATCCTTTATAATTTTTTTATATAGCAAAGTACTTAAACAAATGTAATGAGTGATTTCGATAATTATTAATTCAGAGTGATGAAAAACTAACAATTAAATTAATAAATTATCTTATCTAGCATTGAAATTTATGATAAATTTTGAATAAAGTTGTTTATGAAGGCCTAAAAAATAATACACAGATTTTTTGAAAGTTTCTAAGATTTTATTAACTACGTACTGTGTGGTGGTAATTGGAAGAGAAAACCATTTCTCGACGAGATAGAGCCAAATCGACTTACATGTCATAAGGCCATTTTAAACTGACTCAAGTGAAAAACACGAAACTTAAGAACCATTTAATATATTATTATTATTATTGTTAAAATTATAATTATTTTAACCTAACAAACAAAACACAATAAATATTAGAATACAAAATATTAAAGTATAACCTTTTACATTAATTATTTTCGAATATTTCACCGTAAGTGTTCAAATTGGGCGCTATTCACTAACTCTATACGATTGATAGTGTTTGGAAAATTCTATCTTTAAATATAAGATCTTTTAATCTCCCCCATAAAAAAACTCTAATGGAGTTAGATCGCACGACCTCGCAGGCCACAGAAAAGGGCCCCTAGTTCCAATCACTTACAATCTGTGCGTTGTGAGCGGGGCAACCATCTTGCTGACAGTAAATACTACTAATATGGCAAGTCTTCCAAAAATGTTCGCAAAATATTTATTCGAATTTTCTGTGCTTCAGCGATAAGAATTGTATCTGTTAAATATTCCAGAACAGTCAATTTTTGCTTCATATCATATCATACTTTTCATTTTTGGCACCTTTTAAATTGCTAAATAAACTAAAAGCTTAACAACTATATGCACGGCCTACTAATACATAAACAAAAAATCACAGATACCAACAAATCTATATGGCTAAAAAGGGCTCGACACGAGCATTTTTATAAGTCACCTATGGTTGCCATATAAAATAAAAAAGTTCTGTTCATTTGTGAGAAAACGGAAAACTGTAGAAAAAATCTGATTACGTCACTGCATTTACCTTTAAAAATGAACCAATGTTTTTATCCGAATCCAAACTTTTCATAAATAAAAATGGGAAATTTGAGGTTTTAATTATTAAATGTTTCTCAAAAATCGAGCACTTGACAAATAGCCTTTTCTTGTTAAAACAATCCAATTACGACTACCCTGTACACAATGGTTTCTTAAGATTTCTATTATTATTGATGTCATCCGTTCGGAATTCAACAAAAAACAACTTAAATATGCACTGTATATTTTGGATGATGCACATATGTCCTACTCTCTCATTTTTAGCAATTTCAAGAGACCGATAATGCTCTAGTTAAAGCACCGGCTCATGACGACACAAGCCTACAACTGTCGACCTATATACAAAGTGACCAACTATCTACGGAACAATCCGAAGCCGATGATAAAGCCCCATTATTGCCAATAGAAATTAAAATGGCGGACGCCGTTTTGTCCGATGCTCGAGAACTCATCCCGAGGCTTTGTGAAAATATGGAAAATCCCGATGTAAACGCCAAGAAGTTTAAAACGGATACCGCTACCTACAACGGTAAAACTGAGCAATTCAATAAAGAAGGTGAGTTTATGTTTTATACTAGGTCTAAATTTTCATAACTGGAAATGGAAATTCAATTTTCTCATACGATAAATTCATTGCATTCTACAGTTCAGACCTCGAGTTGATCGATTTATTATGTTGTATTGTACAGATGTTACAAAAAACCGCAAGGAAAAAGACGAAGATAGTACTTTGTTGAAAGATAAAGGAATGTCCGTTCCTGCCGGCTCGACGAGACGAAGATTAAATTACAGTCAACAATTTGGCAGCTTGATATCTTTTACTAGGAAGGAACCTGCGAGAAAAGATGCGGTCGCAAGGAGATCGGCGCCAATGGCCTACGGCAAAAAGAAGACACCGAAATGTGAAACTTCAGGTGAGTGCTAATCAGTACAACCCTTTAAATGATCTTTAAATCCCCTATAAGGAAATATGCTACATATGCCGACAACATTCGAAAATCGAAAAATAAAAGTTAACTCGGCGCGATTTCTTATCAATATTTAATGAGATCAGGGTCACGGTATTAGCAGGAAAACTTTTACTTCAGAATAACCGTCTTATATCGATCTCCCATTCAGTAAATATTCCATGAAAAATCCCGTTTTATTCACGAAAAGGCAATTTATTCATTATGTGAAATGAAACGCCTTGCGTGCCGTTACTATACGAGGGCTGTCCGAATATATATATATATATATATATATATCCTCACGTATTGATTCACGGATGGAAAAATGTGATGACACTATATTCCGGGATATCATCCGTTCGCTCGTTGAACTCCGACTGGAATCCTGCATCCGACTGGAATCCTGCAAATCTTGCATCCGACTGGAATCCTGCAGACGTTTCGCCAAAATCTCACTTGGCATCTTCAATGCTCGCGCTCCGAAAACACTTCGAATATTCGAAGTGTTTTCGGAGCGCGAGCATTGAAGATGCCAAGTGAGATTTTGGCGAAACGTCTGCAGGATTCCAGTCGGATGCAAGATTTGCAGGATTCCAGTCGGATGCAGGATTCCAGTCGGAGTTCAACGAGCGAACGGATGATATCCCGGAATATAGTGTCATCATATATATATATATATATATATATATATATATATATATATATATATATATATATATATATATATATATATATATATATATATATATATATATATATATATATATATATATATATATATATATATATATATATATATATATATATATATATATATATATATATATATATATATATATATATATATATATATATATATATATATATATATATATATATATGTAGACTAAAATATAGACATATTTCTCAAGTGACAAACCTTTCACATTATAACTTGTCCATTGTTAATAAACCTTTTAAAAAATTAGTTATAACGTGTAAACTTTTATTTTCCTTGCTTTCTATTTGTAATTAAGTAAAAAAAAAGAAACGAAACCTCAGTTTGATGCTTTTAGATAGAATATGCTCTTGGTCTTTACTAATCAATGCAAACGTTCGTATTCAAAGGAAGAAAATTACATAGAAATGGGGAGTATTTTGTTTTCTTCATCTATGTGCATATTTTCTTCGATATAATTCGATATAATTTTCCAGTGTAACTTCTCTAAAAAAACTCTAAAATGTCTAATTTGAATTGCCTTTGTTGTTATGTTCATATTAGAAATATTTCCGCAGGCGAGTTTGATGTTTACAATATCGAAACAGCGATGCCGCACATTGACCTTGAAGCCATCGAAAATCATCTACGTGCCGCAAGAGAAGAGGAACGACGGGTAAGTCAAATTTTTAACCTTTGATGAATGACATATTCTAACAATCCTGGGTCACAAATTCTGCATGAAATTTGTTTCGAAGGACTGAAGGGTGACGTGGTCTGTATACATTCCTAGAAACATTGCATTATTAGAAATGAAGTATCTAGAAAAGTAACAAGATATATCTGAAAAGCCTATTGTTCGTTAAATACAGAGGAGTTACCACTTTGCCTTGATCCCTAGAGAACATACGAGAAAAGTAATCAAACGTGTTTTAACCAATCAAAATATTCGTGTCGTTCTCAGTCACCAGAACAGATGTTCGCCCACAAAAACAAGGTGACCCATAATCAATCACATGACGGTCAAAATATGTGTCTGTATTACGGATGCTGATTCATTCGACACATGGTAACGGCATATATCCTACAATGAATTGTTCCCTAAATGTGACGTGACGAATGTTGTAGTCCAAGTGCAAAAGTTCATTTAATGTTTGGATAGAATACTCTATTTTGCGCAGGCGCCTATTTGAGTGATGTACCCCTGAATGTCGCTGACGAATTAGATGGGGTCTTCCTAAATTCTCGGCTATATATTCGTCGTTCAATATAAAATATTTCAAGCTTGTTTTGGATTTTGATTTTTTCGATGCAACCTCGCGTCTTATTAATTGCGCAGTATATAAAAAAAATGAAAAATTTTAATAAAATTCAATTTTATTAAAAAAAATAATTTAAAGTTTAGTAAGGAATACATGGTTAAAATTAAGATGTATATTGAAAATATGATTATAACTGAAAACGACAATTTTTAGGAAATTTTAGTCAGACCATAACAGGTACATCCTATCCGTTATCGAAAAAACGTCCGAAAAAAGTTTTAGCGTTGTATGACGTTTCGAGAAAAAAATTGTTTCTTTCCTAAATCCAAAATAACCTAAACATTTTTTTAATTCTTCTCGAAGCACGATTGCATCCAATTTTTTTAATATTTCGCGGAAAACCTGAAATATAAAACTTTTAGCTCTCGATACAATTTTAGTTTTTTTGTTTTTTTGTTGTTGTTTAGTTGAAGAATTTTCCCGTTAGATCCCACCATCTTCGAGAAAAACAAAATTTGTTTAGAAAGCTAAAAAACGATTATTCGATTAACGAATTTTTAAAAACACTTATTTTAGATATCTAAATAGGGGAAAAGTTTCATCTGTGTAGCTTAAATGGCTGCAGAGTTATGGCGACTTTAAATCCTTTACAGAATAACAGGGTAAAAGAGAAACAGAAAAACGAATCTAAGTAACTCATCTCACAAAACAGTGTATTGTATTTAAGATGAAGACACCCCTATATTTCAAAATAAATACAGATTTTAAGTTTTGCACAGTCATATAGATATAGAATACTATAGATACTCAACTGAAATTGAAAATTTGTAACAATGTGCATTTATATATATATATATATATATATATATATATATATATATATATATATATATATATATATATATATATATATATATATATATATATATATATATATATATATATATATATATATATATATATATATATATACAGGGTTTTTCACTTAAAACTCCGCACGCCAATAAGTCCAAAACGAAAAGAAATATTTAATTTATGTAAAAAGTAGTCAAAGTGTGGCGTCAAGTAGACATTTCCTAAAGTTTAAAAAATTCGACGCCTGCAAAGAGCTGGACGTCGCGACGCGTCGATAAATTATTCGATTGGAGAAACTCTGGAAATACGCGCATACAAAAGTACGTATTATTTAAAAACTTTTTTGTTATTTACTCAAACTTATTTACTTTACCCGTTTCTAAGTTATACCGATTTAAAGTACACATTTCTTGATTAATAAAAAATGTGATTAACGCTTATTTTTACAAGTATGCCATGAATGTTAGTTACTATGGCAACCATTGTTATCGCAGTTGTTTTAAGTGCAATTACAAACAATAGATTTCAACTATTTTAGTATGATTTTATTTATTATTTTTTATCGATTTAGTTCTGATAACATGATAAATAAATGAAAAAACAGTAAAATACCTACAAGTTAATAACCAAAATTATTATTGCAATTAACTACATAATAAGACATTTCAAAAATTTTGTTCAAAATTATGTCCATCTGCTCGAACACAACTATCAAAAACTTTTAACAGATGAGCTTGGGTCACTTGTAGGAGAGTCCTTCTTGTTATAGCGGCACACGCTGCACTAATTTTGTTAATGAGATCAGCCATATCTTCGATAGGTTCTTCATAGATAACGTTTTTTAGGTAGCCCCAAAGAAAATAATCTGGTGGTGTAATGTCCGGGTGAAAAGAGTTTCTATGTGGAATTCTCCACGAAGAACTTATGGTAACAACGGTATTTTCTTTTATCTCTGATAGGGATATCTTGGGGTTATTATCAACCTGCTGAATTACAGCAGCAATATTTTCATCATTTGTAGCCGTCCTGTTTCTATCTCTTTTAGGTTTTATGAAGCTGCCATATTCTCTTAAGTTTTTACATAAACTTGAAAAGGTTTTTGCATCGGGGACTCTTCTATGCGGATAACACCGTGCGTAAACTCTTTTTGCTTCTCTACAATTGCATCTGCATTCTCCAAACACCAGTAACATGTCTACTTTTTCCTCATTGCTAAATTGCACCATTTTCACATAATAATTCTTAGTTTTTTTTAAACCGAACAAATTTGGATATTTCTTGTGACAAAATGTGACAATTTTTTGATACAGCAATAACAACTTACGTTTGTAATTGCACTTAAAACAACTGCGATAACAATGGTTGCCATAGTAACTAACATTCATAGCATACTTGTAAAAATAAGCGTTAATCACATTTTTTGTTAATCAAGAAATGTTTACTTTAAATCGGTATAACTTAGAAACGGGTAAAGTAAATAAGTTTGAGTAAATAACAAAAAAGTTTTTAAATAATATGTACTTTTGTATGCGCGTATTTCCAGAGTCTCTGCAATCGAATAATTTTTCGACGCGTCGCGACGCCCAGCTCTTTGCAGGCGTCGAATTTTTTAAACTTTAGGAAATATCTACTTGACTCCACACTTTGACTACTTTTTACATAAATTAAATATTTCTTTTCGTTTTGGAGTTATTGGCGTGCGGAGTTTTAAGTGAAAAACCCTGTATATATATATATATATATATATATATATATATATATATATATATATATATATATATATATATATATATATATATATATATTGATTGCTGCTTAGAAAGCCGTTTGCACAAGTGTGCGAGTTGAAGTGATATCCGGGATGACATTTGCGGACTGACTACGACGCATTTAAATAATCCAGCCGAAATAAACCTTACGCAACGGGAAAATAGGGAAGTCGGTCGGCAGAATTTCGCGGCACCAGCAACGGTTCGGGAATTTATTCGCGTTCATTTGTTTAGGCGGACTGATGTCATCCCACGGCCATAACTAGGAATTTCAATTGGAAACGGGGAAAAGTCGGCAAATAAAAAAAAAGTTCGGCGCGCAATCGCGTGTGAAGTTGGTGATTTTTTTCGCGTTTCTGGGCCATTGGATTCGTTTCGCTGCCGACGGAGAAGTTTCCGAAAATGTATAATAGACGTAATCAGATACGGGTAAAGCTCATTTTTTTAACACTGACGGCGGATAAAAGTAAAAGGTCGCGTGTAAAAAGGTCGATTTCCCCAAGAGTCGATTGGGCGGCAATTTAAAATTTAACGTGAAATGTTTCTTCTTCTAAAACGCGTTCTTGCGACTTGATAATAGTGTATGATTGACATTAGCTAGCTAGATAACGAGTTACCACGTCTCATACAACACAAAATTGTGACGACAGGCGGCTGGTAATTTTTATGTCAATGTTAAATGTGTGTTAAATTAATTTTCATGGCTGCTTTGTTAAAAATTTTGCTATCAACACTATATTCTAGGTAGTTAATGGCGAAGGATAAATCATGTGTAAAATCTGGCATACCAGCTCTGTGAAATCTGTGAAATCCATGAAATCTTGATGACATCATAATCTATTTCTAAAATTTGGGTTATTAGCACTTTCCATTAGTCAAATCATCCTCAAATATCAAACTTATCTAAAAAAAGTATTTCATTATCATCGAAACTGCTAACTAAATGTGTAAAAAACGTACCCTTTCCTATGAAAAAAAAACTGATTTAAACTTGAAGAAAAAAATAACTAAAAAACAAAATATTGAAAAAAAAATTAAAAATATTATGTTACGTCCCTCTTGAAATTTTATGTAAGGTATAATGACGCTTTTTTTATTTTTACTTAATAGTTTTTTAATTACGACGAAATACAAAAATGTTCCGCATAACCTAAAAAGTGTGAAATATTTGTAGAATCCGTGAAATCTGAAACCAATGGAATCTTTGAGAAATCATATGTTTATGTGCTGATTTGCTCATCAGTTTACGTTATTATCACATTCAAAATTCGTAAAATTTTGGTTAGTTCCGTCATGGAGCAACAATGGATACTAGAACTTAAAGCAAAAAAATGTGTTCCATAAAAGTTAGTCGTTAGAAGTTAAACTTATTAGATAGCACATTTAAAATTGGTTTTGTATTTGAATTGGTAAAGTTTTTTTGAAGAAATCCGAATTCGATATTATGTTGAACCACGCTATTCTGCAATTGCATATCTTTGCAGGTTTGAAAATTATTAAAAATTGTCACTTTGAACACCCCGTATCTTTTAAAAATTCGCATTGCATTACCAACATTATGTCACACCTTTATAGATAGATAATATAGTTTATAATTGTAATGTTATTGGCGGTTGCTATTTGAATGGTTGCGTTTTTTAATTATAATTTTAATTACAAAATTAAAAATTATTTGCTTAAATGTAATATCATCATGAATAGGAAATCGACCCCAGCTTTTGGTTTAGTGTTGTGCGTTGCATGTGCGACCAAATATCACGGCTGTTCATATGTATATCCATAATGTTGTA